GCGAGTGTCTCTGTAGATCTTAGAAAACTATTTCTTGATTTAAGTCGTTGACGTGCTGGCTGATACCCAAACAAGGGATGAGCTGGAGATGTCTCTGCCTTGGTCCTTTCACTATTGGCTGCTACTTCCTGGCGGATGTCAGGTGGTGCAATACCGGCTAAGCAGTGTAATTTCTCCAGTGGTGTAGGGCGCAGACACCCCGTGATAATGCGGCATGTCTCATTAAGAGCCACATCCACTGTTTTAGTGTGGTGAGATGTGTTCCACACTGGGCATGCATACTCAGCAGCAGAGTAGCATAGCACAAGGGCAGATGTCTTCACTGTGTCTGGTTGTGATCCCCAGGTTGTGCCAGTCAGCTTTCGTATGATATTGTTTCTAGCACCCACTTTTTGCTTGATGTTCAGGCAGTGCTTCTTTTAGGTCAGAGCACGGTCCAGAGTGACTCCCAGGTATTTGGGTGCGCTGCAATGCTCCAGTGGGATTCCTTCCCAGGTGATCCTCAGAGCTCGGGATGCTTGTCTGTTCTTAAGGTGAAAGGCACATGTCTGTGTTTTAGATGGATTAGGGATCAGCTGGTTTTCCCTGTAATAGGCAGTAAGAGCACCTAGAGCTTCGGAGAGCTTCTGTTCAACCATCTCAAAGCTCCCTGCTTGAGCAGTAATGGCACGATCATCAGCATAGATGAACCTCTCTGTCCCTTCTGGCAGTGGCTGGTCATTTGTGTAGATGTTGAACATGGATGGAGCAAGCACGCTCCCCTGAGGCAGGCCGTTCTTCTGTTTCCGCCATCTGCTTCTCTGGCCCTGGAACTCAACAAAAAAGCTCCTGTTTTGTAGCAGGTTTCCTATGAGGCGGGTGAGGTGGTAGTCCTTTGTGATATTATAAATTTTTCTCAGGAGGAGGCGGTGGTTCACAGTATCATAGGCTGCTGACAGGTCTATGAAGACAGCTCCTGTGATCTGCTGCCTTTCAAAGCCATCTTCTATGTGCTGAGTCAGGTTCAGCACTTGCGATGTGCAGCTTTTGCCTTTCCTGAAGCCAGCTTGCTGTGGAATCAGACAGGGGTCTATTTTTCCATAATTCTATGCAAAATAGGTCTCTCCAGAACTTTGTAGAGGTGGCACAACAGGGAGATTGGTCTGTAGCTTTTTGGGTCATTACGGTCTTTGCCTGGCTTCAAGATGGCGATGACTCTTGCTTTCCTCCAGATTTTGGGGATCTGACAGGATGCAGTGCAGTTGTTCATCAGCTCCAGCAGCCAGCGCCTTGCTTTTGAACCAAAGTTCTTGATTTGTTCCATCCGTAGATCATCCAAGCCAGCTGCTTTGCCATTCTTACATTTATTGAGAGCCATGTCCAATTCAGCAGATGTAAAGGGTTCGTGAAGGTTGTATTAATTTGGTATGACTTGTCTTTGATGAATCCATGTTGACTATTAGCGATGACCACATTCCTTTTAAGTGTTTACAGACCACTTCCTTAATGACCTTTTCCAGAATCTTGCCTGGTATTGACGTGAGGCTGACTGTATGGTAATTGTTTGGGTCATCCTTTACCCTCCAGATCTTTTAATTTCCACTTCCATGATACCTTACTACTGGCCACATTAGCCGAGACTGATGGCAGTCACAGGCAAAAACATCGGGAGAATAGGTTGAGCATAGCTACAGTACTGGCTTCTAGCCTATTTCTAAACCCAACCTCTATCCCTTATTACTAGAGATGGTCAAGATAGCCCCAAAAGAGACAATTATTTTTTAAGTTGGAAGCAACACATCTAATTTTCCAAGTCAGTCGTCGTTTGTGCATCACGCATACATCCTGCTCTTGGGTTAATAATATGAGATAACGTTTAGTAATTTGAACTGTTTCTAGTTGCAACTTTTAACTTTTTTGTTGTTTTATGAAATATTGTAAAGTGTGATCCAAGTACCCCTGTTGTGTGTGATAAGATTCTGCAATTGCTCATGCTGTCCCCTTGTTTTGTGCCCAAAGTTCCCCAGGCAACCCCACTCTGCTGTCTGTCATCATCCATTAGGAGTATGGAGTACTGTAATACAGAGGCCAAAGAGGTATACTACCTATATAACTAGGTATACTACTACTAATAGTAGTAGTAGCGCAGTGGATTAAACTGCTAGCTGTAGGAAATCTGCTGACCAGAGGGTTAGCAATTCAAAGCTGCGAGTCAGGGTGAGATCCTGCCTGTCAGCTCTAGCTTCTGACAACCTCACAGTTAAAAAGCATGTAATGCGAGTAGATCAATAGGTACAGTCTCGGCAGGGAGGTAAAAGGGTGCCCCATGCAGACATGCTGGCAACACAGAGGGAGAAGTCTGTGGACAACAGGCTCCTTGGCATGGAAAAATGGAACAAGAGTACCACCCCACGGCCAGAGTTGAGCATTGCCTCTTGACACCGGAAATGGAATGGGAAGGCCTTTACCTCTGACTGTGTATTGTATGTTGTTGTTACTGTGAAAAAAGGTATGGAATGTTTGCCTTATATATGTGAACTGTAATCCGCTCTGAGTCCCTCTGGAGAGATAAAGCGGAATATAGATAAAGTGTAAAAATAATATTACTACTACTACTACTACTACTACTACTAGAGCTGAGTTTATACAAAAGGGGAGCACTGGTTTGTTGTAGGTTTTTCGGGCTGTATGGCCATGTTCTAGAAGCATCTCTTGAGGAGCACCTCTTGTAGAGGTTAAGTAAAAATGGCCAAAATATTTAATACACTTGCAGCTGCATGAAATATTATTTCCCTCCGTTGTACACACCAAATTGTTTTCTTAGGAAGACTTTATTCAGGAAAAGTTACAAAACAATTGTTAAAACAACAGCATATCTCTGGCAAACTGTAAAAGGTTCAATGCAGCATACAGGTCAGTCAATAAATTATACAGTTTACAGAGCCCTGGCTTCTCCTGGATCATCAAATAGGACACAAATCTTCAGATTTGGGATCAGGAAGATAAAAAAAAAGAAAAGGCATGGATGCCATTTTTAAAGGATAGACAGAAATCGCATTCTGATAATGTGAAGAGTCAGGATTCAAGGAAGTAAAATTACATGGCAAATGCTCCGATGGATATTCAGCAAAGAGGGACACCAGACTCTTCATGTCTGGCCTTCTCTTGTGCTTGGCAAAACACAGAAGACCTTGGAAATGTCACATTTGGACTGCAATTCTCAGAACCTAATGCTTGTACCAGCTGAGGAAGACTGAACATTGGAAATGTTACCCGTTTGTATACAAGCAGAAAGAAAGGTTAAATCAGGAGTAGTTAAACTTGCCAGTGTTAAGCCAGCATGGAAGACTGAACTCCTCTCAATTCTCAGAACTGATTAAATTTGCATTACGTTCGACAACAGATCGTTCATTGTGCCTGGAAAGGAAGTGCATAGCTGATTCTCCCTCTTAAAATTATCAAGGAGATATTAGAAGCAGAGTATTGAGAAGTATCTTAAGCCCTTCCACTGGAATTGGTTTCGCTTGCACGATTGCGTTGGCACAGGTTTTGGCTGAGGAAGCCAACCATTGAAAGGAGCCTAAGAGCCAGCCAATCCAGATGCAGCTATCACTTTTGAGAAGGGGAAACAGGAAGAACTTAGAGTCATTGCTAACCATAATTGAAAAGCTTAGCTCAAAGCAATCTAGAGCCCAATGTTTCTGCAGTCTTGAAATTGGGCTGTTTTCTCTATTAATTAACACAAGAGGGGCTTCTGTAGGACCAGCCCCCAGGAGCCCTTTACAAAATACTAGATTTCTACTTAAATAAATGGGGCTTTCTTTTTGGAAGGAAGACATCATGGCTTAGATTATTTGACCTGTTCCAAATAGAGAAGTTGGTCCAAGGAAGTTCTCTTAGAGAAGCTTTACACCACATTCTTGGGGCTGGAGAATCTTGTCTTCATGCCTTCAATAGCTGCAGTTGTGGGTTTAAGGCAGTTGCAGTTTAATCATGACTATATAACACAAGCTCTAAACATGTGCTATCCCCTGTTGCTTGAGCAGACTGGTGGCACCTGCCTTTATGCCGTTGTTCTGAAATGTTTAGCACTCTTTCTGTCTGTTGGAATACAGGTCTCTTCTTTTCGGACATCCTATAAACACCCCAGCTATGATCTCAGCTGGGAAATTGCACATCGAAAGAAACAGGCATGAACGATGCTCTTATATGGCTAATTTCAGCTTCTTTTTCTTAGCTTTCATGACAGCTGGCAGTGAAATCTTGAAGGCGGTCCTGGAATGAGAGGAAAAAATAAATTAGAACTCTGATGAACCCTGATATTAGATTAGCCCCCTCCCTCCTGACCTTCCGTGAAAAAGTAAAAACATGGCCCTTTGATCAAGCCTTTGAAATTGTGCAGTAAGCAGAAATAGAATTATGTGCAAAGACTATGGGAATGGCCCGGATTACGATTATGGTCAGCGTAGTTTTAAAATGGTGATATTAGCTTAAATGTTTTTAAGGCATTTTATAATTCCATTTAAAAAGCTCATTTAATTGTATATTGTTTTTAATGGCATCAAATAGTTGCCTATGTGTAAAGTCTCCTTGAGTCCCCTTCGAGGTTGAGAAAGGCAGGGTAGAAATGTCACAAATAAATAAATAAATAAACCATGACTGCCTACTCAGAAACAAGTTCCAATGAGTACAGTGGGGATAACTCCCTGAAAAACCTGCACTGAATTATGGGCTCACAAATTCCGATGAAGCTGTTGGAGGACAACAACAGACAATAGTGCAATGAGAGTATCAATACTTGTTTCATATAGAGAAGAAATAATAGGAATCGTTTGGGGTTTAGCCAAAGGGATTGTGAAAGAATAAAAGAGGGATAAGCTCCATGCTCCAAGTGATGGTACAAAGCTGTTGTTTTTTCAACCAAGGGCACTGAAATCATATTCACCAACACTGGAATTTCTGCTAGCCCAGGATTCTCTGAACATGTTTAACACACTTCTAAATGTGGGAGAATGAACCTATTCCACCACACTTATACCAACACTTGTTAGAAATATTTCCCATTATGTGAGCTAATTGAAGGCGGGGGGGGGACTATACAATTTAGTGGTTATTTTCCCTTGGGTTTCTTTGATCCACATATGTTTAATTTTATTAATGTTGTCAATCCAAGACCTAAAGTTGTTTTTTCTTGCTTAAGTTTTTTTTCTTGTTTCCAATTCTCTCTATATATTGTAGAAAAAAATCAGAACTATTATAGTAAAATAAGACATGTAATGGAAGAAATAATAGGAAAAGAATTAAAGTGGGATAAAGACAGATTCATGTCTCTCACTATGGAGGCAAAGGAAGATAAAAAGAATCGGACAGAAATCCTAAAATATACGACAGCCACAATACAAGCCATAATAGCCCGAGGATGGAGAGACAATACAAGATGGGATTTGAAACTTGGTGGGCTTATCTATTGGAATATATAATCAATGATTTCATTAACCAAAGGAAAAACAAGTATATAAATAGTCATACATATGGCAAAAGTCTGTTAATTGTCAGGTTGTATCAACTAAAATAACACAATAATAATAATAATAACAACAACAACAACAACAACAACACACTTCTAAATCTCTTCCTTTCAAGAATGGGCACTTGCTTTTTGTGTGGTTAAAACAGATCTCAAACAGACTGCCTCACTCTGAACTTTGAAATTTCTCGCAGACACTTACTCGCAAGTGGTGCAAATCGGACTGAAGTTGCAGAATACTGGAAAATAAAAAACAACATATGCAGTGAGATGGTCAGCCTCGGGTTGCAGGAGCTAAGCAACACCCGAACAAGCCACACAGGGAAGCCTTACTTGACAAACACACTGAGCAGACGTAACCAACTTCAATGAGATTCCTGTGGCAGAAGCAAGCTGCCCTGTAGTCCACATGAACACGGGGTGGGAGGATGAGTTGGGATCGTTGGTCGTGATCAGGGAGAAATACCCACTGTAGTTGAAAAAAAGGGGGGGGGGGAAGACGCAGGAAAGAAAATTATAATCTAAGAAAAAACTGCTAGAGTAGGCCAACAATGATCTACAGTAGATTAATACGTTGTGTCACTTAGTTGTCTTGCAGGAATATCAAAAAGAACTTTTCTTTTTGTGTTTGTCTGCCAGAGTCCCTGATGTGTAGTTCCTCAGGAATGAATTTGTTCCTGTTCATGTAGGCCATCTGATTATACCGCTCACAAAGTACACTTGCCAACTACTCCACCTATGAGAACTTATTTACATCCATCTCCTAAGAACAGAGCTTTAAAACAAAACTTTTTGGGACAACAGAGACCCACTCTATGAACATTACAAAATAAATGGCAGAAGGAAGGGCCACTCACCAAACAAACTATAAAGGAAATAAAGAAGGGGGTCAAGAAAATAAAAATGGAAAAATATAAAGAATTAGAAAGGAAATTTATCTGGAAATGGTACAGGACACCAGCTCAACTAGCAAATATGGGAACAGGACTAAGCGCAATGTGTTGGCACTATAAAGTAGAGAAAGGCTGGTATGCACATATGTGGTGGGACTGTTTAAATGAGACAACTTTTTGGGATAAGTTAATTTTTAAAATGGGGAAACTTTTCAAAATAACAATCCAAGTCAATGTGGAATTTATGTTAATGGCAATTACAGGGAATAAAAACATTGCTGCAAAGAATCAAGACTTATTTAAAGCAATGATTTTAGCAGGAAAGGCAGTAATAGCCTGGGGATGGAGAGATGTATAACCCAAGAATGTATAACCTAAGAAGGTTCACAGGAGGACAAAACAGAAGAAATTAAAGAGAAATAGGCAATTTTTATGAAATGGGTAGAAGAAGGTGAAGCCAACATAGATATTGTACAAAGATTTAAAAGGTTGTGCTCGTGGTTAAAAATAAAGATATAGATATGGAGAGAAAAGTGGTGGGAGGGGTAGGGAAGGGTGTTGGGAGGAGGTGGGAGAAAAAAAATGTAATGTGAACAAATCTGTAAAGAATGTGAATAGAAAATATAGAAATATTTTATCATAATGTAAGCCTACAATAGACATTTATTATCTGTTCAAATATTTTGTTTTCAATTAAAAAAAAAACAGAGAGCGACTCTGGGAAAAGAACAAAAAGATTAGGTAACTGGATTCATCCAGGTCTGCTTTGCCCAGGGCTCTGCTGCAACTGTGAGGCACACTGCGTCTGAACTGGGAAGTTTCGTTGAACTATCACAGCTTAGGACCACTGATATATTTTACTACACTAAAACAGCAAATTCAACCCATCTTTTCCAGAAAAACACCAGCATTGAAATCCGCAAGCATGTGGACAATTTCAACAGAAAGGAGGAAACCATGAAAACGAACAAAATCTGGCTACCAGTATTAAAAAAAACCTCTAGAATCAGGACAGTAAATAAAGAACAACACTCAGAATACAGGGGAATTTCAGACAGGAAACAATCAGGGCCAGCTAACATCTCCCAACAAAGGATTCCCCCCCAGGCGGTAAGAAGCCACACCTTGAAACTGCAAGGCCATTCAATGCTAATCAGGGTGGCCAATTGCAACATTCACCATTTGCCTCCAACAGAGAAGAGTTCTTTCTCCCACCCTGGGCATTATTCCACAGATATATAAACCCCACTTGCCTACTTTCCAACAGACCTCACAACCTCTGAAGATGTCTGCCACAGATGTGGGCGAAATGTCAGGAGAGAATGCTTCTAGAATATAGCAAAACTTACAGCAACCCAGTGATTCTGGCCATGAAAGCCTTCGACAACACCAAAATTGTAAATCACTGGGTTAAAAAATCAACTCAGAATCAAAGCGTTTCAACATTCAACCAGCTAAGAAGGCAAAGTACACTTTTCAGAGTATCATGCGATTTGAAGGGACAGCTGCCGGTTCTATAGCATCTTGCAAAGATAGAGCAGTTTCAAATATCAGCAGGTGCCGAGGTTGCTGGAAAAATGCACTCACCAACAAATATTGCAGAAGTGATGGCTTATGTGGGACTTTCAAGTAAATACCCCCAGTGATATCACAAGCCTGAAAAACATGAGTATTATTCTTTATTTGAAATCAGAACTGAGCAGATTATGCTGTTATTTCAAAGTTCCTAGGCTTCATGGCAATGCAAATGAGGTAATAACTGTGAGGTGAAATGTGTGGTTTCCCTCTGAGAGCTCAAAGCCCCCAAAGTTTGTTTCAAAGCTTTATAAGCCATTAGAAGTATTATGCACAAATAATGCAAGTCATACATTTGTAATGTTCACGTTCATAGGGCTCTTCAGATCTTGCTACAATTTCTACTGTAGCTCCAGGAGCTGAGACTGAATCTACACTTCCATATAATCCAGCTCAAAGCAGATGGTCGAGATGTAGAAGCTGAATTATATGGCAGTGTATATGGAGCCTGAGCAAAATGCTACCTCCACTGAAGTGTAATAATACCACCCAATTTCATGCATAAAAAACAGTAATAAACAGTTTTTGCTTCTTACCCCACACAACAATAATAATTGTATTAATAATAATAATAGTAATAAAAACAACAACTTGCCCCAAGGCAGAGTACAACCGGGTAAAAACAGATAAAATACTATTGTGATGGATAAGGAACAAACAGATACTATACCTGCTGCAAGAGCCCTGAATCAGACTCCAAAACACAGGCATCAATCAAAATATTCTGAAGAAAAAAACAACAACAAGTGGGGAAATTAAATTAATGGCATGAAAGGAAAAAGGGAAATTAGAGAAACAACTATTCCATTTCAGCAGATTAAATCCATGAATTCACATTTCTTTCAGTTTTCTCAAAGAATGATGTGAGAAATACGTAATGGCCAGAAAAAGAAGGCTTGCTATTATGTAGAGCCAGCTAGGAGCCCTCCAGATTGTTTTGTGTCACAAATGCCATCAGTATCTGTCAATGGTTACAGGAGCAGTCAACAATGATTAAGGACACCAGCTTGTCTACCCTTGGATTTATATAAACAAGAATATATCAGATTCCAAGAATTTCACAGAAGCCCCCCATTTGCAAATGGGACCAGGATGAGGGCTAGGGCTGGGGAAAAAGATGTCCCAGTGTTGTGTTAAACCACAGTTTAGCAGTATGAGATCATCAATTTTTAACATTTACACAAATGATCAGCCTCTACCAGAAGGGCTGTGGAACACCCTTCCCGTGGACATCAGACTGGCTCCCTCCCTGATGCTATTCCGCAGGAAATTAAAGACCTGGCTGTTCAAGAAGGCGTTCGAACAAGAAGTGTAATAATTGGTAATGACGACAGGAATGGAACAACGGAAAATGATACTGGATTGTGGTTCAAACGATGAGACGACATGAATGGCTGTTTGTATTATTGATATTGCTGATGTTTTTGATAATGATGTTTTTGGTTACTGCTAGATTGATATTTTAGATTGTGTCCTGAATTTTGAACCTTGTTTTTCTATGTTGTACACCGCTGTGAGTCGCCCCTGGGCTGAGAACAGCGGTATATAAGCAAAGTAAATAAAAATAAATAAATAAGGGGCAGAGAGTTTCATCTATGCTGACGATCGTGCCATCATCACACAAGCAGGTAGCTTTGAATGTGGCTCTTAATGAGACATGTTGCATCATCACAGGATGCCTACGCCCTACACCACTGGAGAAATTACACTGCTTAGCCGGTATTGCACCACCCGATATCTTCCAGGAAGTAGCAGCCTGTAATGAAAGGACCAAAGCGTGGACATTTCTGGTCCATCCTCTGTATGGATATCAGCCAGCAAGCCAACATCTTAAATCAAGAATCAGCTTCCTAAGATCCACAGAGATACTCGCAGGAACATCTCAGCAAGTGAGAGTTCAAAAGTGGCAGGTTACAACCCAGAACCTCAATCAGTGGCCAGTACTGGGTGAGAGACTCTCCCTGGGCACACAGACGATTGGGTGACTTGGAAGGTGCGGAACAGACTGCACTCCGGCACCACGAGATGCAAAGTCAATCTTAAGAAATGGAGCTACCAAGTGAAGTCTGCTACATGCAAATGTGCAGAAGAGCAAACCACAGACCACTTACTACAATGCGACCTGAGCCCAGCCACATGTGACACCAGAGGCACTCCAAGTGGCCAGCTTCTGATCAAAGGAAATTTTGTATAATGCCAAATTTTTAACTCTGTTTGTGGTTTTTTATACATTATGACTCTATTCTCAATTTGCTTCTGACAGAATGAATAAATAAATAAGTATGAGAACAAGCTGCAGAGAGTCTCTAACTCAGATCTTCCCCACCATTATCATGAGTTCAGATTTTTTTTCATTTTACAGTAACTGCTGTTGGCCAAATTATTAAAAGATCACAGTGGTTAATATTAATAATAGCTAAGGAAATAGGTCAACTTCAAATGATAGTTCAAAGAGTTGGGTTGTTTCATAGATAGGATGGACCAGTTTCTGTTGGGTTAGATGACATGGTAAAATACAGTTAACTTAAATAACAAGAAATGTTATTTCTTACCCACGTCCCCATAGGGCTCGAGGTGGGGCACAACATAGTTAAAAACTCATCATCATCATAAAAGAATTCAGTCAAATACATGTATTAAAACATATTTCTATAAAATACATAAAAGAAGTGGAAGCTTCCAACCTCCTTCTCACAGTCTCACCAACATTTCATGGATTGCTGTGGAGGAGGAAAACTGATGATATGAACTCTAATGCATGAAAACTGATCTCACAGTAAACCTATTACTATAATTTTGAAAACATCCTAACACTCTTTCTTTCTGTCTTACTTTTAATCTATAAATTCCAAGCTAAGAACAAACTACAGAAATGATACAAATTGTAAAATACTTTGCATCACCTGCTTCTGGGCCGCAAAGATGACATTCATAAAGTTCATATACTGCAGTGCACTGTCTTCAGCAGCTTTTATAACCTGGGAAAAGACATTGGCATCCTTCAGTGTCTAGATTCCCCCTCAGGAGAGGCTACCGGGCTTCAAGATCTATCAAGGAAATCAGAGAACTTACCAATATCCTGGATTTAATTTCCTGGCCAGCTACATATGGAATGTAAGGGGGGCAGGGGGGAAAGAAAAAAAATGTCACTACATCCAAGCCTGGTCATATATTACTTCCAAACATTCTGTTCACAAATGGTCTATGCAGACTCCATGCTTTGTTTTCCTTAACCACTGTTACCTGGTTTGTCCCAATACAACAATTTCTCAGTAGGAAAGGATTCGCATGCAGAAAATCTTAGATTTGACTCCCAGCATATGCATTTCAGAAAAAAATCAGGGAGCAAGCAAAGCTAAAGAGCCTTCTGTCTCTGGCCCTGAAGAGCCCCTGCCAATACAGGAAACACTGGCCTAAACAGACAAAGAATCTGAGCAAGTATAAGCTCACTACCTGTATTCCCCAAATTGTAGTTAAAGAATGGACACAAATCAGAGTATCAAACCATAACCTTAACATGCTTTAGAAATGTTTGTTCTTAGGCTCCACCATGACTAGATGTTACATCTGCAGGGGGCAAGCTATGAAGTTTTCTCAAATTTCACGAGTTTCAGGTCTAAAATTTCGATGCATCTTTAGGATCTTAACTAGGGTTAATACATCACGGCTAGTGTGAACCACAGCTAAGGATATATCACCTTCATTTGTTTCTATTTCTAAAAGCAACACTTTTTGAAAGCATACATCATACCTGATTCCGTTTTGCTCACTCTGTGAATATCTAAGAGGTACAACATTCAGGAAATTATTTTGAAACTGTGTTGTGTCACCTCACAAGTTTTATCAGAGCAAAATAAATGGATTTATACAGATAACATTGAGGAACAGTTTGATTTGATTTATGAAAATGAGTAACATGTGGCACAGAAAGATGGAATAATATCAACAGTAATATTGCTATACCAATTTCCTGTGACCTAGAGGCTAATCAATTAATAGTACCTTCAAAACAACAGAAAACAAAAAACCCTTGAAAAACACTGATTTCTAAAGGATACAGCATAATGCTTTCGCAAGGGATCCAGCTAGCAATGTTTCTGCCTGTTGCCATTCCAGTCCTGCTGCGTGAAAAAAAAGTGTCTAAAGATCACAAATGTTTATGGCATTACATTTCCCAACTCGAATACTTTGCTCTATCCATGTTATATCAAAATTAGCTATTTACACTGAGGGACACCAGTAACTACTTGCAATGGATTACTATCATCTGTGAAAAGACCAAGCCTGGCTGTTAGCTTCGGCTCAAAGAACAGACACCTTAATGAGAAAGCAGGAAGGGGATGGATGTGTGTGTGATACAGTATCCTTTTGGATTTAGGGCCACAGGGCAACACTGCCCTTAATAGCAGCTGTACACACTAAGGAAATGAATCCTACAAAACCCATGGAAGGCTTTTTAAGAACCTCTGCCACAAAGCACATTAAAACCCTAGTTTTCTTTGGCAGGGAAGTCAATAAAAGACACACAAAACACATAACGAGAGTGAATTGACCTAGAGGTTAATCTCACCGTTGATCATCAGATTCTTTATCTCCTCCGCAATTGCTTCATTTATAGTTGTTAATAACTCATACTTTCCATCCTTGCTACCATACATATTAGTTTCTCCAGCCTCATCAAAGATATCGATAACTGCCCAACGCTTTCCAGGATACAGGAAACGGCTAAGAGAAACAAAAGAAGATTCATTTGTGTGAAACCTTAACATAATCATTGCAATTGATCCGAAGTGCTAGGCAACAGACCATCTTTCACAAAGAAAGGGATGCTGTGTACTTTTATTGCTGTTCATACTTTGCATACATTTTTCAATTTTTTTCTGCCCTTCAGTAAAAGAGGATTTTAAACTTCCTTATGTATTATGAATAAAAAGTAGGTTGATCCTTTCCTCTTGTCTTAGAATCAGAATCCTAACAGAAAGGAAGCATAGACATCAAGTAAAATTGAATTCCTAAAGTCCTTCTAATAGCTGGTTGGAATAGGAACCGTTCTGGAAAGGAGGAGCCTAACTGAACTGATCTTTCAGCAACACTTATAGTATGCGTCTTTGTTCCACCAGCTTCACATTACACAAAAAACACTAGTGTCAGTTGGTCTAATGATAAGCTTTATTACTAATATGTTTAATATTTAAGATATACAGGTAAAGAATCACACTTACATTATGTGCCAAAAGGGGGCTTGCTTTTTCCATCTTCTGAGGCTAAGGCTGCTTCTACACAGCCATTTAATCTGGAGCAGAATGTGGATTAAAAAGATCCAGTTCGCTTCAGAGTGCCTACACAGACTCCCCAGGAACCAGCTGGAAGCTGAGACAGAGTCCAGAAAGATCCCCTTAGTGCGGATCAATCTGATCCAAGCAGTATTTTTTTTCTACCACCTCCAGCGACAAACGCTGATAAGAAACAGCTTCTCGGCGCTTGACTGCAGCAAGGCGAGGCAGAGGAACACACAGAAACCAAGTGTTCCCACAGGAAGCTCCAAGTAAGCACCAATATCTATGAATTGTTTGTGGGATGAAGGCAAAGACTAATCTTTCCTGGCAATCTACTTCCAGAAAGGACCTGGGCAAATCTCTCCAAACAATTCAAAAGGAAAGCAAGAGCAGGAAACTGAAACAAAGCTCACATTCAAAAGCAGAGATTGTTTATCCTCCTTCCTTTCACCTCCCTTCCATCTCCCCTCTCCCTGACCCTCCCCCAGATAATCTTAAAAAGCAGGAATACCTTTCATGTATATGACTGGCTATAACAGCAAGCTTGTTGTTGCGGTTCATAAATAAGTGTGAGTTTCCCAGCACCATGCTCGCATCAAGGCATTTTGACAATGTAAGCTGTACAGAGAAAGGGGGAAGGTGGAATTCTTAGAGCAGAGAAACGTCCAAGGAAGCACAGTAAATCCATAGGTGCGTCATAAAAGCTCTAAGGATGTTTTCCCAATTCAAAGGAAATCTAAGCCCCAGCCAAATGCACACTGCCCCAACATCCCTGCAGGTATATAATATCATCTGCTCATTTCAAGATAGTATTATTATTATTATTATTATTATTATTATTATTATTATTATCTACCCTCTCTCCTTGGAGGGACTTAGGGCAGCTTCCAAAAACGAAAAATGGCAAACATTCAATGTCATGTATAAACAACATATTGCCATATGCTGCATGGCAATGATGGGACTATACCACATGTACACATACTCCACTTAACCACAGCCATGTTTGTGGGCTGGACACAATGCTCTGCAAGTTAGTGGTGCTTTTGCAAAGAAATGGCCTTTTCATGCTTAGCAATGGTAGTCAGTCCTCCATACCCACAGATGCCATCATCCACAGTTTGAAAATTTCACACACATATACCCCCAAATAATCCAAAAAGCAATTCTTTCTTTTCCCATTTTAGATAAGAGATACCATTTTATTATACTCTTGAATATAACAGGACTTGAGCATCCGTGGAAAGTGGCAGCAAACCAGTGCCTGGCCACAGTGATCAGCTGGATAAGGCAAACAGGTTGACATTGAATCCTGATAACACAGAGGTCCTCCAGGTCAGTTGCTTGGCCGAACGGGGTATAGGGTGGCAACCTGTGTTTGATGGGGTTACACTCCCCTTGAAGACACAGGTCCGCAGTTTGGGGGTCCTCCTGGATTCAGCGCTGACGCTTGATGCTCAGGTGTCAGCAGTGGCTGGGAGGGCCTTTGCACAGTTAAAACTTGTGCACCAGCTGTGACCATACCTCGAGAAATCTGACTTGACCATGATGGTCCATGCCTTAGTTACTTCAAGATTAGACTACTGTAATGCACTCTATGTTGGGCTGCCCTTGAAGACAGGTTGGAAACTACAGCTGGTGCAAAGGTCGGCGGCCAGATTCTTAACTGGAGCAAGTTACAGGGAGCCGTCAATCCTCTTGTTTAAACAGCTCCACTGGCTGTCGATAAGTTTCCGGTCCCAATTCAAGGTGCAGGTTATTACCTATAAAGCTCTAAACGGTTCAGGACCTGCCCATCTGTGCGACCCCCTCCTCCTTTATAAGCCCACACAATCCTTAAAATCTTCCGGGGATGCTCTTCTCTTGCTCTGGCCCCGGTCTCAGGCACGGCTGGTGGGGACGAGAGAGAGGGTATTCTCGGTGGTGGCTTCTCGCCTCTGGAACTCCCTCCCTAGGGAGATTAGGCTGGCACCCTCCCTAGCCAAATTCCGCAAGGAATTAAAGACATGGATGTTTCGTCGTGCTTTCGAGTGATGACTCCAATGACATACGACCTGTATCGTGATCTGAATTATCATTCAATCTGAACTCCTATATTACATTACTAGATATATCCTTAAGTTAAGTTGAATGGATCTTGTTAAATTGCTCAGCTTCCATGTTATTTCCTATGCTATTATACATTGCTATCCACCTTATTGAACCACTTTATCCTTTAATCCAGCTTGCATAGTGGTCTTTGCCCCCCCCCCCTCCAAAATTAGTCTGCTGTTACTCTTGATGCTTGTTATTATTGTTACGCTGTTTTGCTGCTTTGATTTGTTATTGCTTTGCTTTTAATTGTATTTTGCCTTAAGCTTGGCCCCATGTAAGCCACCCCGAGTCCCTTCGGGGAGATGGAGGTGGGGTAGAAAAATAAAGTTCTTCTTCTTCAAACAGGTTCCTGGAACCAAACCCCAGTGGATACTAAGGACCTACTGGAATCCATAGACTGAACTCAGGCAATGGGTATTCAAGTGAAAGGTGGTTTCTTTGATTTCACTGAAACATATTTCCAAATAAGTACACTTAAGATTGCATAATTACTAATTACTTGAAAATGAAGCACAAGTCTAAGTAAATTTGTTCAGAATCAGAGCTGGAATCCAGTCCGGCTGATAACATATGTAAGAGATTGCAAGCGAAACAGGCCACCTTACCTTTGATCCTCTCAACGCCTGCTTTCCCCACCAGATCGGATTAGCGTCCACTACTATGACTAAGAGATTCAGCTCATCATCTAGAAAAATAAGATAAAAAGCATCACCCAACAGTGTGGTCATTTCAGCCTATTACTATCTGTTATAGACAGATCACCAGTTACAATCCCCACGTCCCATTGGTTTAGCTGTCTAGAGGCAGAAGGCTCTCACTCATGCAAACACAAGTAAAAAGGAGGACCAACCAAGACTGTGTACCTGTTCATTGAGAACTGTTTCCCGCACCTTACTCATAAGGATAGGGTGGCAGCTTTAGGTGTCCCATCTGTCTTCCCCAAATGCAGAAACGAAAGTCCAGAAAAACACCATCTCAAAAGAAAGAATTTAGACATTTCTTCTAGAAAGTCTGCCCAACTGCAATTATTATTGTGAGTAGTTTGCCTTTATACAGCCTGAACTTTACAGCTGGGAGGGGATTTCCGTCACTCCTCTGCATTCCAAGTCAATGTAGCAGAAAAGACACACATCTCTCTCTGTGCGTTTGCACCACAAAGGGTCCTTTGTGGCTTGATGGATCTGGACCAAACTTGGCACACAGACTCTAAATAATTGAGGGGTTTGAACTAAAAAAAACGCCACCTCTTTTGGGCCCAGAGCAGAGGGAAAGAAAAGGAACAAAGCYGATAGGCTGCTGCTAGGTGAAGTGGCCTTCTATGATATCACTGGGAAACAAAGAGGGTGAAGTGTTGTTAAGTGACATATGTATCATACTCGGCCATGAGTGACAGCCCATGATGTATCGAGATTGGAGGAAAAAAGGAAGGGGGGAAAGAAAAAGAAGGGAGGGAAAGAAGAAAGGAAGGGAAAGGAGGTATGAGGTGAGGGAAGAAAAAAAAGAATGGAAGAGAAGGGAAGGGAGAAGGAAGAGAGGGTGGGGAAGGAAGAGAAAGGGAAGGAAGAGAAAGGAAAAAAGGTATGAAGGGAAGGAAGGGAAGAGAAAGGAAGGGGGATGGAAGAGAGGGAAGAAATGTGAAGGGGAAAAGGTATGAGGAGAGGGAAGAAAGAGAAAGAAGGGTAGGGAAAGGAAGGGAGAACAGAGGGAGAAGAGATAGGAGGAAGGAAGAGAAAGGAAAAGAGGTATGAGGAGAATGAAGGGAAGAGAAAGGAAGGGAGAAGGAAGAGCGGGAAAAGAAGAAAGAAAAAGGAGGAAGAGAAGGAAGAGAAAGGAAAGGAGGTATGAGGGGAAGGATGGGAAGCGAAAGAAGGGATGAGAAAGGAAGGGGGATGGAAGAGAGGGAGGGAACGTAAAGAGGAAAGGTAAGGAGAGGGAAGAAAGAGAAAGAAGGGTAGAGAAAGGAGGAGGAAGGAAGAGGAAGGAAGGGAAGAGAAAGAAGTGATGAGAAAGGAAGGGAGAAGGAAGAGAGGGAGAAGAAGAAGAAAGAAAAAGGAGGGGTAAGGAAGAGAAAAGAAAAGGGGTATGAGGGGAAGGAAGGGAAGAGAAAGGAAGGGGGATGAAAGAGAGGGAGAAGAAGAAAGAGAAAGGAGGGGGAAGGAAGTGAAGTATGAGGGGAAGGAAGGAAAGAGAAATAAGGGATGAGAAAGGAAGGGGGTGGAAGAAAGGGAGAAGAAGAAAGAGAATGGAGGGGAAAGAAGAAAAAGGATGTATGAGGGGAAGGCAGGGAAGGAGGGAAGAAAAAGGAAGGGAAAAGGAGGAAATTGTAAAGATGAAACGGTATGAGGGAGGAAGGAAGGAAAGAGAGGAAGGAAAAAGAAGAGGGGGAAGATGTGTGAAGGAAAGCTAGGGAGGAAGGAAAAGAAAGAAGAAAAGAAGGGAGGAAGTGTAAGGTTCCCAGCGCAAAGTCTGTCACATCATCTGCACTGCCCGAGAATGCAGTTTGAATCTGCGTGAGTCAGTGTTCACTCCTAAAATGCAGTTGCACTGCATTGAGCTGCTTGGTAGGAGTCTACGCGGCCTCTCCAGCGCAGTTCCAAACCGAAGAACAACCGCACGGATCTGTTTCCAGTACCTAAGGAACACTCTGCACGTGCTTAGGAGCAGTCGCGTCGAAGAGCCACGGCTTTGTTTGAAACCGAGGGAAGCAGGCAAACAAGAAAGGAGCCCGGATTGGAAGGCCGAAGCCACTCCGTTGGTAGAGCCGCCGGAGGGGAGGAGAGACCGCCGCATTGCCCTCAGACTCACCGCCACTCATTGCTCTCGGCAGCAGGAAGGAGCGCAGTGGTCCCCCCGTCGCAGGGGAGTGACGTCTTTGGCCGCCGCGCGGCTCCCCGCCCGGTCCCGCCCTCGCTTGATTCCGGCTTGGAGTGCCGCGCGGAAAGGCTTCCGGGGGCCAACGCGCCCCGCGACCAAGGTTCCGCCCCGGTTGCCTCGTGAGTCCCAAAAGCAGATGGAAGGAGTGGCGTGATCTGACTCTTCCACTATGAACGAAGCAGGTGAGGAAATGGGAAGAGGGTTCAAGGCACAGGCATCCGACTTGAAATCAATCCATGGGAAAAGGATCTGGAGGCCCTTCCACACAGCCCTATATCCCAGAATATCAAGGCAGAGAAGCCCACATTATCTGAGTGTGGACTCAGATAACCCAGTTCAAAACAGATATTGTGGGATTTTCTGCCTTGACATTCTGGAAGGGCCCTAGGAGTCTTGGGCTGGATCTACACTGCCCTCTATCCCAGGATTTTGATCTACACTGCCAGATAATCTGGGATAAGCCCTTCCCATGGACATTAGATCAGCCCCTTCGCTAATGGTGTTTCGAAGAAAACTAAAAACCTGGCTGTTTGAACAGGCGTTCAGATAAATAGTGCAATGAACACAATGAATATAGGAAACGGAATTATGGATGACGAATTGGATCACGATTTTAGTTACGAGACGTTAATGTGTTGTTATTGAGATGTCATTAGTTTGTATTTTATACTGTTAATGGTTTTAATATTGTATGTTGTTGGATTGTCTTTTGCTCTTGTTGTGAACCGCGTTGAGTCGCCTATGGGCTGAGAAACTGCATACAAGCAAAGTAAATAAATAATCTTGAATCAGATCCTGGAATAAAAGCAATGTGGAAGAGGCCATAGGCCCCTTCTACACTACCATATAATCCATATTATCAAATAATCCATATTATCTGCTTTGAACTGGATTTTTATGAGTCTACACTGCCAGATAAACCAGTTCACAGCAGATCATCTGGATTGTATATGGCAGTGTAGAAGAGGGCCTTAGTGGACCTTTGTGATGCGACAGCAAAAAAGGCTGATGTCATTATAGGGGGCATCAATAAGATCGTGTCTAAATGTGGGGAAGTCCTAGTCCCACTCTCATTGGTCAGCCCTCACCTGGAATAAATACCCTGTGTCCAGTTCTGGGCAAAAAAATTCAAGAAGGAGATGAAAAAGATGGAAGGTGTCCAGAGATGGGCCACCAAAAGGATCCAATGGTTTGGAAACCAAGTTGAAGAAGCTGGAGTCTGTTAAGCTTGGAGAAGGGAAGGTTGAGATGTTTCAGTCTTTGAAAGGATGTCCCATTGAGGAAGAATAAGCAAGGCTTGTTTTCTGCTTCTTCAGAGACTGGGACTTCTTCTGGTCGCTTCTGAAGCCATTACTACTCAAGCAGGGAGCTTTGAGATGGTTGAACAGAAGCTCTCCGAAGCTCTAGGTGTTCTTACTGCCTATTACAGGGGAAACCAGCTGATTCCTCGTCCATCTAAAACACAGACATGTGCTTTTCATCTTAAGAACAGACAAGCATCCCAAGCTCTGAGGATTACCTGGGAAGGAATCCCACTGGAGCATTGCAGCGCACCCAAATACCTGGGGATTACCCTGGACCGTGCTCTGACCTACAACAATCACTGCCTGAATATCATATGAAAGCTGACTGGCACAACCTGGGGATCACAACTGTGATCAGTTCAAACTGCAGGAAAAAAAGAATCCACATGGCCATACAGCTTGAAAAACCTACAACATCCTAGTGATTCTGACCATGAAAGCCTTCGACAATACAAATCCACCTGAACATTAGGAAGAACAGTAGAATGTGCTGCCTCAGAGTGTGATGAAGTCTCCTCTGGAGGCTTTTAAGCAGAGTCTGGGTGGCCATCTGCTGGGAGTGGTTTGATTGTGTCTGCCTACCTGGTAGAATGGGGTTGGACTGGATGGCCCTTGTGGTCTCTTCCAATTCTATGGTTACATTAGTTTCTTACAGGCTTTTATTGTGATTTTATTTAAAAGCGCCAGCTTCCTTATGAGTACAGAAAACTGTGGTAGCTTCCAGAAGTCCTCCAACTTTGACAGTCCCATAGTGTTGGCTGTGTTTGGCATGCTTTGTTTGGCTAAAGCCTTTGGACCCAGAGGTGCCCCACTCTTGCTCTATCTATGGAATGAAGAAATGCTGTCAGTCATCATTTTTGATTATGGGTGTATTTACACTGTCGAATGAATGCAGTTTGATCCCACTTGGAACTCTCATGGCCTCAATGCTATGGGATCCTTTGGCCTTCTCTGCTGGTGCCTCTCCCAACTATAACTCTCAGGATTCCAAAGCACTGAGCCATGGCAGTTCAAGTGGCGTCAAACTGCATTCATTCAGCAGTGCAGATGCACCCTAAGTGTGTTAAAAAGAATCACTCTGTGTGTTTATGAATGTTCTAAACCTCACAACAGACAATACCCAGTATTAAGCTATGTTGTTTTCAATTCGTAATATTTAAAGGGAATATGGAGTCTATATGGAAAGAAATCAGAGCTTCATTGACTTTCTCCTTTTTGTTTTCTTCCTCCACTTCTTTTCAGAGCTGGTCGAGGCCTTTAACACTCAGATGAGGCAGGATCCTGATGTCGCCTCAGCTGTGGCTGCTATCCATGTCTTGCTGGAGTTTTTGAAAAGAGACAAAGGCATGTAGGGGCTTTTACTTGTGTGGCCTGAGCTCTGGGTTTGAGGGCTGGAGTCCGGTAGATAACTAAGTTGGGATTTATGATTTGTGATAATTTATGATATAGCAACAAACGTTTCAGATTTAAAAGTCAAACGGTGGATTAGACATTATGACTCACTGCAGGAATTTAATCAAATTTTCATTAAACTCTCCTTGTTACTCTTAGAGATCTGCGTAGCATCTCTAACCTGCAGTAATTCAAATGTAGTACATGCTGGCTATTTAATTATCTGTATCATTGAGACAGTGAAATAACCAGCACATATACATTGGGCATAGCTCTTGGAAGCCACAGTTTTGCGTCTGCTTTTAGATGAAGGCTCCATCTACACTATCATTTAATGCTGTTTCAAACCGGTATTAAAGAAAGTGGTTTCACTATGCAGATGATTGCATAGGAAACCCTGGTGTTGATTTTGAGGCCTGTATGGTGATTCTACATACTGCAGAACATTGATGCACATTGACGGCTTTCTTTCGCGTGCTTTGGTGGGAATTTGTTATCTGGCTGCCAGTTTGAAGCTGCCTTTGAACTACATTAGATGGTCAGTGTAGATGGGGCTTTGAAATTCTAGTTTATGGCAATGCAGTTACTACAAGCTCATTTCCCTCCCACTTCTGTCTCTGCCAGGTGAGACAATTCAAGGGTTGAGAGCCAATCTCAAGCGAGCCATAGAAGTGCTCTCTGGTGTTGATTCCTCGGTAGCGATCTCTTCAGGAGGGGAGCTTTTCTTGCGGTTCATCAGTCTCACCTCTTTGGAGAATCCGGTGAGTTTCACTCAATTGTTTACAAGTGAGTACAGGACTGCAGTCACTAATTAGTAGTTTTTGTGTCTGTGTCACCCAATTTTATATTAAAAGGCCCACAGGAGTTGCAGTAAAACACGCCCAGCTTTGAAACTAGTTTCTGCCTTTGTGTTTATTACATGATGGGAATAGCAACAAAGGGGAGATTTGTGAGCATGTGCCAACTCATTTCAGAAAAAAAAACTAATCAGAGCCATATTCAACATACTTGGCTATGATGGAGAAGGGCTTTTATAGTAGAGGATGTGTCAACCCTAGCAATTTTTAAAACCTTTAAACATGGTAAGCATGATGCTCAAGGCATGTTTGAGCTTGTTTCTTTAATTGAACCTCCGATGTCACCTCCTGCCTTCACCTCTTGCTGTTTTCTCTAGGATTATTCCAAATGTAAAGCAATCATGATTGAGAGAGGAGAACTTTTCCTCCGGCGAATCTCTGGCTCAAGGAATAAGATTGCCGTACTTTGCCATACTTTTGTCAAAGATGGTGGGGTGAGTAAGCCTAGATTTTGTAAAACACAGGAACTGACTTAGTCTGGTTTTATGCATTTTACTGTTGCCCTAAACAAATTTGATAGTTGGTACTCACCACAAATATAATATTCTCTGACACCCATAGCTGACATAGCCATAGAATCTTTGAGATATTGGAATTGGAGGGTACCCTAGAGGTTTACAAGTCCATCCCTTGCTCAGTGTAGGATCTACAGTTATAGCATTCTGACAGATGGCCATCCAGTCTCTGTTGAAATATCCCTAGCAAAGGAGAGCCTACTAGTTCTGAAGACAACTCTGCTCCACTGTAGAACAGTATATACTGTGATAGTATTTTAACTGATATCCACCCGAAATCTGGTCCTTTTGAATTTCTAACCATTCATTCCATTCTTCTCTTCTGGAGCTGCAGAGAATGCATCTATCCCATCTTCTGCTCTTCAAATATTTGAATATTATTTATCATGTCTCCCTTTAAACTTCCCTTTTTCTACACAGTTGAGGCCTGGCTGTCTGTAATGCCACATGGTTCTTCTTTCACTAGTTCAGGAAGAGAGGACCTGTAGTCCTCCCAATAATGGGAGTTGTAGTCCAATCTCCTTTGAGGGAGGGAGGAACAGACAGCACCTTCTGAGCCTTTCTAGGAAGAATAGTGTAATTTATATTACGAATCCTAAACTGAAGCATTGGTGTCCTGTTTCCTCAGAGGGTATTGACTCACGCTTATTCCAAAGTGGTCCTGAGAGTGCTGGACACAGCAGTAAAAGCCAAGAAACGTTTCAGTGTTTACGTCACCGAATCACAGCCGGACCGAGCAGGGCAAGTAGATGACAAGGCTTTCTTGCTTCTTCAGTATGCAAATAATAGTAGCTGGGTCTGCTCTTTCATTACCTGGACAGAGTTCTCCCTTTGTGAAGTAAAACTGCAGTCCTGTATACACACTGATACTTGAGAGTAAGCTCTCATGAGCACATAAGATAATGAATGAACTCTACTGCAAAAGATTATCATTACTATATTATTATTATTATTATTATTATTATTATTATTATTATTTTGTCCTCTCTTGAACATTCTTTGTAATGTTACGTAGGATCGAAGTACTTTTTAAAATATATATAATGGGTTTTAAGATAAAATGTTGACAATTACACAGGCAGACTATGGCTGAAGCTCTCACCAAACTGGGCATACCTGTGACAGTCATCCTAGATGCTGCTGTTGGGTAAGTGTGAGTGGGCAATGTTGTCGCTTGGCAAAGCCATTTTTAAATGGGCTGGGATTGTCATAGTAGTGCAAAAATTGGAATTCAGTGGAGAGTGATTCAGGAATTGAACAAAGAAAGAAGAATAAAAAGATGGTTTATTGGACCTGATCCTCAATCCTAGAGTAAAACAAGAGGTAAGAATTGAACCTGGATCCTTCACTATGCAACCAATATGCTGTGCCACGATTCCTTCCCCTTTAAAGGAGTGGATCTTGTTTTCGCCCACTGACCCGTCTGGGAATTGACACAAAGCAAGAATAAAGGCCTCTGAGTGTCCAAAGCCCCTGTTTAAAGACCTTTGAACAAGGAGAGTCATGCGTGGCAGGAAATGGTTAGACAGGCATATGGAGAGATCTGTTAGTGGGATTTTCTCCCTGAAATGCCCAAGTAAATTGATGGGCTACTGGTATTATGGACAATGACTGCAGGGAGAAATTCCTGATGTAGTATATGCATCTGATCTTCCCCTTCTTTTAAATAGGTACATAATGGAAAGAGTGGACCTGGTGATTGTTGGTGCTGAAGGAGTAGTGGAAAATGGAGGCATTATTAATAAGGTGAAGCATGTGTGCAGGATTGGGGTGTTCTCGAAACACTGGGAGTTTATCTGGTGGTGTCCTATCACAGTGGTTCCCAACCTGTGGTCCGTGGACCACCAGTGGGCCTCAGTGTTGCTACATCATTGCAACGAGCAACTGGTCTTGCAAAACCCTCTTATAGTGCCAAGGCTTATGGTTTTTTTTGTGGTCAAGCAGATGGCGACTACTGGGTGGAATATATTTTGTATCAGAAAGTAGAGCTGATGTGGTCTATCCAATGCAGTTTTCTGAATCAGCACCCCAAATAACCAAACCAAATCTGAAGTTGACCAAAAACTGATTCATAACCCTTTTGGTACTAATGTTGGAGAGTGTTCCCTGGTCAAAAAAAGGTTGGGAACCACTGTTCTATCGGCAGATGGTTGTTTTATTAAGGAGAAGCTTCCATCAGCAACATGGGGAGGGAGATTATTTTACTGTGTTTAAATTATACTGTACCATCCCCACCCTTGGTACCACTTCTGTGCTTTTTGGATGGGTCTGTCTACCTTGGTGGGGATGCTAGAAGATAGCAGAAAGGTGAGAATTGAGGGAAATCACTCCCTTCTCTCTATATCAGTGGTTCTCAGCCTGTGGGTCCCCAGGTGTTTTGGCCTACAAAAGATGACCGTCCTCTAGCTAAGAGTTGGGGATGTGCAAAAGTTGTTGTGTTGCAACTTCCATCATCCTTTCCATTGGTTATGTAGGACCTTTGGGAGTACAACTGTTAGGAAAAAAACTACCCTAAAATATAACAGAGCATCCAAAAACCAACAGGATACGAAGTTGAGCATCAGCTCATTAGCGAGCACAGCGTGAAGTGCCATGTGATGTGGCTGTAAAGAATTCAGAGCTTAGGAGGCCAACATGCAGAGTCCAATCTTTAAAATCACAAAAAGTTTATTTACAATAATAAAGAACTAACTACATTTCTTCATGGTAAAGAACTGGTCTGAGCTACTTTTAACACCCATCTCTTCTTCTAAGGTTTCAAGAGAAGCAAAAACTCAATCACTACATCTCTCCTGACACACAAGCAGAGAGAGATCTCAAAGCACACAGCACATACTCCATACTAAAGTGTAAGAAGGCAGAAGTCAGATTCAAAAAAGCTTGCAGCAGAAAAGTATCCACTGCGGGTTTGAATTCTAATACCAACATCTATACCACTGCTTCTTAAACTTGGGTCCCAGCCCCAAATGGGGTCCCCTTACCTCAATGTTGGTGTCAAAAATTGGCAACAGGAAAAGGTTTCTGAACACCACCCATTTAGACAAATCTGTTAGCAACTACATGCAGTGGACTCTGCAGAAAATGCTTCAGCTGTACTTCATGAAAAGTAAAATCTGCCTCTTTAGCAAACCTTGCAAATGCTGCTTTGTTATCAGTGAATGTTTTAATCTTACACCTATTTTATATACCTGTATACCTGGGGTCACAAAAATTTATTGAGTGTAGAAGATTTAAGAAGCCCTGATCTAGATAACTGTACCTTTCATAGCCCTGCTCTATTTTCTTTCCTTTTAAAATTGAAACATCCTGAACAACACCCTTTCCATAGACTTATGACTTATTACTGTATGTTCTCAAATACATCACAATTGTACCCTTGGTTCGCTCCTGACACGATAAATAAAAATGACTTATTACAGTGATGGAATGAGATTATTTTAGTAAAACACAAAAAGATGGTTGGTTAAGGCAGTATGTAGTCCATGTTTAGTGCTTTGGAATTCGATCACTTTCTGTCGGCAAGTGCAAAGTGAACATGATGGTGCTGGAGCTTTGTTTTTTGGGTTTTTTTAAAAAATAAAAAGGCAATTGCTTTCTTCATTGTCCTGACTGAAGTATTTTCCCACCCATTTGGATTCCTCAGATTGGCACAAACCAAATGGCTGTGTGTGCCAAAGCTCAGAACAAGCCCTTCTATGTGGTTGCAGAGAGTTTCAAGTTCGTAAGGCTCTTTCCTCTGAACCAGCAGGACGTCCCAGATAAATTTAAGGTAATTTAAGAGTGGAAAATTATGTCCGTTAATTGTTTATGCTTTAAAGGCCTATAATGGATGGAACCACAAAAGCAATGTAATCTTGCAGGTTGTCCACAAACACCTATCCAAAACAGCAGATGGCAACTGGAAGATGGCATATGTTATGTATCTCAATAACTGTAGTTGATGGGGGAAACGGGTGCCATTTTTGGAATTGGACGGTCAAACAAACCCAGAAATAGGGCCCACATTTGAGGCACCAAATATCTATTGGCCAGTTTATTATTATTATTATTATTATTATTAGTAGTAGTAGTAGTAGTATTTGAAACACAACAAGATTAGTACACAGCAAACAAGATTACTCTGCTGGATGTTGTATCGGATCACACACTGGACACTTCTCAAATGTCTAGGACTGTGATGTATTGGCAAATAATGTGTGCAGATCCTAGTATTATTTATTTATTTCGGGCACTTCTACCCCGCCCTTCTCAACCCCTAGGGGGGACTCAGGGCGGCTTACAACCGGCACAATTCGATGCCAACAATTCAACAGATAAAATACATAACAACAATAACCACAAGTTAAAACATTCAATTAATACAATAACAACTAAAAGCCAATCTAGTGGTCAACGTTCACCGAGTTCTAAAATCCGCAAGTCCATTCAGCATTGCCCATAGTCCTTTCCAAATTCTGGTCATCATTACCTTGTCAGTCTGCCAGATTACCCAAAGGCCTGGTCCCATATCCATGTTTTGAGCTTCCTTCTGAAGGAGGGATGTTGATGACCTAATTTCCCCAGGGAGTGAGTTCCACAGGCGGGGGGCCACCACTGAGAAGGCCCTGTCCCTCGTCCCCACCAACCTCACTTGTGATAGAGGCGGGGCCAAGAGCAGGGCCTCCCCAGAAGATCTTAAACTCCGAGGTGGGACATAGAAGGAGATACGTTCGGACAGGTACGCTGGGCCGGAGCCGTATCTTTTGCAGCTGACAGATGGTAATTTTATCAGCGCCAATTGTGTTTAAGTGCAGGGCAAGGTCTTTAGGCACTGCACCCAGTGTGCCGTTCACAACTGGGACCACCTTGACTGGCTTGTGCCAGGGCCTTTGCAGTTCGATATTTAAATCCTCGTATCGTGTCAGCTTTGCCAGTTGTTTCTCTTCAATCGTTGTTGTTGTTGTTATTATTATTATTATTACTATATAGAGTTGCTACTCTGATCAGAATGTTGTTCAAGCCAACCCATAGACGACTTTCTTGTAGCCACTGGCATCTTTCCATTATGTAGAGGATCCTTCAGTGTTCTGGCTTCATCTTGATGCCATCCCCACATGGGAACAACTGGCCATTCTCAGAAAATGGTAACTTGTGTCTTTTCCCCCTTTCTTTTCTTCTCTTAGTATAAAGCAGACACTCTGAAGAACAGTAAGACTCTCATGATGGAACATCCCTGGATTGACTATACGTCTCCGTCTCTGATCACTCTCCTCTTTACGGATCTTGGGGTCCTGACCCCCTCTGCTGTCAGTGATGAACTTATTAAATTATATTTGTGAACTGTCCATTTCCGATGTGCTGAAGCTAACGTGTTTTTGCTTGGCAGCTTGTTGGTAGTACATTCACAAAAAGGGGTGTGTTCTGGTCGATTGTACGAAGAGCCTACTAAACAATATGGAAACTACGTTACTGGGAATAAATTCACTGAAAAAGAACAAGTGTCCGGATGTTTTTGTACAATTTGCAGATAATTTATCCATGTGTGTAATAATTAAAACAGCACTTGTGCCACTTGGAAGGAAAGGCAGTCCATTATCCTCCCCTGGAAAAAATCATTTTCCAATCTTGGAAATCTCCAGGGAGATTTGTACAAAGCATACTTTCTCTTCCATTTCCTGGCATTTTCAGTTTAAATATAATAATCATAATCTATACACATAATACAAGTGAAAATATGTGTGTGTGTGACTGGGCTGTCCACTTACTCAAACAAGCTCCTGCCTCCACAAACAGCTATAGCTCTTACTCCTCAGGAGACATCAATGGCTCTCTCGCCAATAACACTGCAGGCTATAGAGAGCGTCAGAACATGTACAAGAGCCCTGCCAATGTCCTCCACAAACAGCACACTGCCCATCCCCCAAGCAAAAGCTTTCATACAAGGACAATTGCATCCTAGATTTTGTGTTTCCTCCATCACAGACATTACTCTCAATTGGTGTGAAATTTGCATGACCCTGCCCACTGCCTCTCCCTTAACGTTTTCCTATTATATCCTATGGCACAGAGCAAACAGGAATTGATCAACAACTGAACATACTAGAGATTTGCCATGATTTATAGGTACTGGGATGTATAGTTCACCTGCAATCTAAGAGCACTGAGAACTCCATCAACAATGGACCTGGAACTACCTTGGCACACAGAACCCCCATGACCAACAAGAAATACTGGAAGTCTTTGGGTAGATTTATAGGAGTTGTAGTTCACCTACATCCAGAGCGCACTATAAACCCAAACAATGATGAATCTGGACCAAACTTGGCATGCATACCCAATATGCCCAAATCTGAATACTGGTGGGTTTTGAGGGGAATTGGCTAGAACATTTCAAAGAGGTAGGTACTGGGATTTATGAGCAATCAATGAGCACTCTGAACTCCACCAGAGATGGAATTAGACCAAACTTGGCACACAGAGCCCCCATAACCAGCAAAAAATACTGGAGGTATTTGGGGGAAATTCACCTTGATTTGGGGGCGTTGTAGTTCACCAACATCCAGAGAGCACTGTGTACCCAAACACCGATGGATCTGGACCAAACTTGGCACACATACTCGACAGACCGAAATTTGATTACTGGAGGGGTTTGAGGGGAACTGACCTTCCTTTCTGGGAGTTGTTCACCCACAACCAGAGAACACACTAAATCCCATTGATGATACATCTAGAGCAAACTTGCCCAACATAACTGATAAGAGTTTTTCGGGGTTAACTAGGAATGATGTGAGTTGTAGTTCACTCACAACCTTATGCATTTTGTACAATTAAAAAATTGACTTTTTCAAATAACCGGGAAACGCCGGATACCCAAGTTAGTAGTAGTATTAGTAGTAGTAATAATAATGCCTGCCTCTCTTTCCAGCTCAAGGCCTCCCAGAACATGATCCTTTCCAGATGCATTGGACTACAATGCTTTAAATGCCCGATTTGGAGGTTGGAGGAGGCTACAGTGCTAATGCCAAGAGCACAGGAGCATCGGTTACATAGAAAAGTCTATTTTATTGCTATCCAATGAACAAGCTCTCACAGTTTATGCTTCATCCTTCCGAGCCTGAGTCGCCCATTGTCTCTGCCTGAGCTTCCTTTGTGCTGCACAGCAGCTTCTTCTCAAACTCTTCCTCACTGATTTTGCCCTTTTTCAGCTTTTTGAGGAGCCGCGTGTCGTTCAGCAGTTCCTCCATATCGACATCTTCTACATCAGACCCCTGCAGTCAGAGAATTTTAAAAAGCACATTTTAGCACAGCGGACGCACCAATTTTAGTTTTCCCCCAAACAATTACACAGATGTGTTGTCGAAGTCTTTCATGGCCAGAATCACTGGGTTGCTGTGAGTTTTCCAGGCTGTTTGGCCATGTTCCAGAAGCATTCTCTCCTGACGTTTTGCTCACATCTATGGCAGGCAACCTCAGAGGTTGTGAGGTCTGTTGGAAACTAGGCAAGTAGGTTTATGTATCTGTGGAATAATGTCCAGGGTGGGAGGAAGAACTCTTTATCTGTTGGAGGCAAGTGTGACTGTTGCAGTTAACCACCTTGATTAGCATTGAATGGTCTTGCAGCTTCAAAGCCTGGCTGCTTCCTGCCTAGGGAAATCCTTTGTTGAGAGGTGTTAGCTGGCCCAGATTGTTTCTTGCCTGAAATTCCCGTTTTTTGAGTGTTGTTCTTTATTTGCTGTTCTAATTTTAGAGTACACAGAGACCACAGACTACACAGAGAAGCCATTGAAATCCACAAGCATGTGGATAATTTTAACCGAAAGGAGGAAACCATGAATATGAACAAAATCTGGCTACCAGTATTTTTAAAAAAACTATAAAATTGGACATTTCACAGATATATAAACCCCACTTGCCTAGTTTTCAACAGACATCACAACCTCTGAGGATGTCTGCCATAGATGGGGTGAAATGTCAGGAGAGAATGCTTCTGGAACATGGCCAGACAGCCCAGGAAACTCACAGCAACCTAATTACAACAATCTCTTGCTTCTAATCTTCATTTATACGTACTCCTAAAATTGGCTAACTTGGCCTCTTGACATTAAAATCCATATGCCATATGTGGATGTGCTCAAATCATAGTTTATGAACATTACAGGTTCTTCCCTCCAGAGAAGACAAGAACAAGACAGCTAACACACAGCTGCTGGGCTCAACTTCAAAGCTAAGTGGATTTCTAGGACCTTAAGATCGTCTGGGGAGGGCCTACTCTCGTTACCGCCTTCATCACAAGTATGTTTGGCAGAGACGAGAGACAGGGCCTTCTCAGTGGTGGCCCCTCAGCTGTGGAACACCCTCCCTATAGATATTAGATCGGCCACCTTCCTTTAAACATTTCAGAAAAAAGTCAAGACGTGGCTTTCTGAACAAGCATTTGCAAATGCAGAGTAACTGACATAGAAAAATGGAACGACTAGACAATGAGTCCAGACAACGTTTTTAAAAAGGAGACACTCTGAATTTATATTTTATTAATTTACTTAGTTTTTGTTATATGTTATGTTTTTAATTGTATTTATGACACTGTAAGCATTGAATTTTGCCCTGTTAACCACCTTGAGTCACCTACGGGCTGAGAAAGGCAGTATACAAATACAGTAAACAAACAAATAAATAAATAAATTTCTCTATGACCAATCTATTTCAGCCACTGTGAGAATAACATTGGGGGGGGGGACCCCATCAACTACCCTCTGCTCCTTGGAATTATGACAGGATAAAAACAAATCAACAAATACAGTGGAGATCCTGACCTTGGAATTCTAAAACAACCCCATTAACTAAATCAAAACCTTGCTAGATCCAATATAACACTCAGACACCTATCACTCACCTCTTCTCTTTTCCGTTTGGCTGTCAATTTCTTCTTCTTCTCCTTCTTGGCTTTCTGCTTGGACCAGGCCTTGTTTTTGGCAAACCTTTTCCTCCTTCCTTGCTCCTGCCCTTCTGTCCTTCGCTGCTCCAGAAATTTCTGTCTCTGTTTCTCTCGGTTCTTGTCTTTGAACGCGATCAAATCTGTGTCCATATCCACAGGCGTGAAGTCGGAGAAACATTTGCCTTTCAGCTCTGGCATCCTCGGCATCTTTAGCAAAGCAAAGCCTCGGGCCAAGCTGGAAAAGTCCAGATCTGTGGTGGGGAGAAGAGAGGGATGGATCATGCAGCCATATAACTAAGCAGAGACCCAAGCCCCTTCCACATCTATATAAATAAAAATGCAATGTTCATTTGTCGGATTAACATAACTCAAAAACCACTGGACGAATTAACACCAAATTTGGACACAATACACCTATCAGGCCAATGAGTGACCATCACTCATAAAAACACTGAAAAACACAGCAGCAGAGACTTAAAAAACCACAAAAAAATAGAACACATGCGCAAAACCATATATACACATACACACACAGATATATATATGCAAACACACATATACACAAATATATACACACACATATACACACACACAACACATACACAAACTGGGTCACAGCAACGCGTGGCAGGGGACAGCTAGTAGTTGTATAAAATCCACATTGAACTGGATTATATGGCAGTGTGGACTTGGATAATCCAGTTCAAAGCAGATATTGTGGATTATCGGTCTTGATATTCTGGGTTATATGGCTGTGTGGAAGGGCCCACAGTGGGACGGTTTAGGACAAACCATCACTTTTCACAAGAACAGACCAAAGACATACATGTTCTACCCTCCCTGCTCCTCTAATGTGGAAGCGAAGAGTTCAACAGCGATTGCTTTCATTTCTGACCAGCCGCAGTTTATTATTCCATTCAAATCCTAAACTGTAGGCAATCTTAACAACGGTTTGTTGAACAAACCAGCCTCATAAACTACAGCTTGAAGTATATGTCTGTACAAACCACAGGAAAAGTAACCACAACTTGGCCATGTCAGATGAAATGACCAGCTGGAGATACAAACAGAAGGAAAACTTTTCTATCTTTCTAGCAGAAGGAACAGCACAATGCTCAGGGCAGCTTATTCCTGTTCCATTTATCAAAATCATCCAATCAAGTAATTCATTTAATAAGAGTTTTTTTTTTAACAAAAGAATGTATAGAGAATGCCACTTGTAACTGAGTACTAACTTAATGAATAAAGAGACAGGATTTACAGTTTTAGAAACTGAGACATGTGCAAGAAAGGAAATAGCAACCATCGGAATGAAGAGAAGGGCTTGAAACAAATATTTGAATACAGAGCAGAATTCTCTCATGTAAGGACACTTGGCACTTTGTGAATTGAATTGTGAATTGGCAGTTTTATCCAGAGTTGTTTTTATAATTGCATTTTGATTTTATGATAAATGTGTTGACAGTGGCTGTTGTTATAAGTTTACGTGTTTTATACTTATGTACCGTTTTTACCTGTTGTATGTTATATATGCACCCTGGAATGCCTTTGTAAGCTGCCCCC